CTTTTCTGTTGAATTAATAGTAATTCTTATCTCAGTTACAAAATAGGGATTTTTCTTTCGGATGTTCATACCTTTCGCTTTTCAAGGTAATGCAAAAATAATGCCCCAGTGAGAGCAAACTGATTATGCTGACTAAATATATGTATGTGTGTATGAACATGCACTTAGAAATGTTTGTGTAAATATGTACAAAGTATGACTGTAAAGAGCTTACTTCTCAAAGTAGAGTTGAGCATGATGATGCAAATGGAGTAAAGCTTTTGGGATCTTCATTTGCTGTTGGGGCACTACTCAAAATGAGAAGAAACAGCTGTAAACATCCATTAATAATCGGAACATAGAATGTATGAAGTATGAATCTAGGAAAATTGGAAAATTTTCAGAATGAAGTTGAAAATACATAAAGAGAGATATCCTAGGCATTAGTGAGTGGAAATGGACTAGTATTGGTCGTTTTGAATCTGACAATCATGACTTACTATTTGGGGAATGACAAATTCAAGAGAATTGGTAAGCATTCATCATTAAAAAGAAAATTTTTAGATCTATTTTGAAGTGCAATACTGTCTGTGATAGGATAACATCCATATACCTGCAAGGAAGATAATAATACTATTATCCAAATTTTTGCACCAATCACAAAAACTAGTAATGATAGAATTGAAGAATTCTACCAACTTCTTCATTCTGAAATCGATTAAATATGCAATAAAGATGTATTGATAATTCTTTATGACTGGAATGCAAAAGTTGGAAACAAAGAGAAAGTCAATGGTTTGAAAATATGGCCTTGATGACAGAAATGATGCTGGAGATTTTACAACACAATTTTTTTAAGGCTTATTCATTGCAAATAACTTTTTTGTATATTCATAAAAGGTGATATCACACTTGGATATAACCAGATGGAATACATAGAAATCAAATTGACTGAACTGTGGGAAGAGGTGGTGGAAAAGCTCAATATCATCAGTCAAAATTAGGTCGAGGGATGACTGTGGAACAGATCAGTTGTTCATGTGCAAGTTCAGACTGTAGTTGAAGAAAAGTCTCTGAGAGCCAAAATATGACCTTGAACATATCCCACTTGAATTTAGAGGCTATTTCAAGAACTGATTTGATACATTAGACACTAATACCTGAAGAACAGAAGCACTGTGGGATGATACCAAGAACATCATACAGAAGGAAAGCAAAAGGCCATTAAGATAGAAATGAAAGAAAGGACGAAAATGGATGTCAGAAGAGACTCTGAAACTGGCTCTGCAGCATAGAGATGTTCCAGGGAATGGAAGAAATGAAGTACAGAGCTGAACAAAACATTTCTAAGTGTAGCTCAAGAAGATGGAGTCAAGTATTATAATGAAATTTGCAAAAACCTGGAGATAGAAAATCAAAACAGAAGAACATGCTCAGTATTTCTCAAGCTGAGGGAAATGAAGAAAAAATAAAGTTAATCAAGCCTCAGGTTTCAAAACTGAAGGATTCCTTGGGCAAAACATTGAATGATGTAGAAAGTATCAGAAAGTGGAAGGTATACCCAGAGTCACTGTACCCAAAAGAAATGTTCAATGTTCAGCCATTTCGAGTGGTAGCATATGAACAAAAACCAGTGGTACTGATGGACGATGTCCAAGCTGCACTAAAGATATTGGTGAAAAACAAAGCTATGGGAACTGATGCAATGGAAATTGAAATCTTGCAACAAATGAATGAAGGTCTGAAGCCACTCTTCTTTGCCAGGAAATTTGCTACCTGGCAAACTGATGGAAAGTGATCTATATTTGTATCCATTCCAAAGAGAGATAACCCAATGTAATGTGGTAATCAATGAACCATATCATTATTATAACATGCAAGTAAAACTTTGCTGAAGATAATTTAAAAATGGTTATAATAGTACATCAGTAGGGAACTATTAGAAACTTAAGCTGGATTCAGAACAGAATGTGGACCTAGAGTTGTCATAGTCCATCAGATGGACTTATTTCATCTGGTGAGATCCAAGTACAAAATCACCTTTTATGAGTATAAAAAAAAAGTATTTGCAATGAATAAGTCATTGGTCTTAAGAAATTCTGCCATGCAGTCTCCAGCATCATTGACTGAAAGCAGAAAATACCAGAAAGATGTTTACTTGTGCTTTATTGCCTATGTAAGTAATTTTACTGTGTAGATCATGACAAACTGTGAATAATATTACAAAGAATGGATATTTCAGAATACTTGATTGTGCTCGTGAGGAACCTGTACATTGACCATGAGGCATTCATTTGGAAAAAAAAAAAAAGCACAACAAAAAACAAGGGGATACTGAATGGTTTAAAATCAGGAAAGGTGTGTGCCAGAGCTGTTTTCTCCCACTGTATTCAGTCTGTATGCTGAGCAGCATATAATCCAAAATACTGGATAATGTTAAGAAGAGTTTGGTGTCAGGACTGGAGGAAGACTCATTAACAACTTGCAACATGTAGATAATACAACCTTGTTTGTTGAAAGGGAAGAGGACTGAAAATACTTACTAATGAAGATCAAAGACCACAGCCTTTACATTTGCACCTGAATGTAAAGAAAACAAAAATCCTCACAAGTGGACCGATAATAACATCATGTTAAATGGAGAAAAGATTGCGGTTATCAAAGGCCTCATTTTGCTCTAATCCACTATCAACACTCAGAGAAACAGTAGTCAAGAAATCAAAGAATGTATTTCATTAGGCAAATCCGCTGCACTTTGAAGTGTTCAGAGCAAAGTTATCAGTTTGAAGAGTAACATGCACCTCTTGCAAGCCATGGGATTTTCAGTAGCCTCATATGCATGTGAAAGTTGAACAGTGAGTAACGAAGACAGTAGGAGAATTGATACCTTTGAGTTACGGTGTTGGAGAAGAATATTGAAAGTACCATGGACTTCTAGAAGAACAAAACAATCTGTCTTGTAAGCCAGAATGCTTCTTAGAATCCAGGATTGCGAGACTTAGTCTATCCTACTTTTGACATATTATATAAAGAGGGACCTGTCCCTACAGAAGGACATTATGCTTGGTAGAGTGGATGGTCAGCGAGAAAGAGGAAGACTCCCAATGAGATGGATTGGCCCAATTGCAGCAGCAATAGACTCAAGCATAACAAAAAGTGGGAGGATGGTGCAGGACCTGCAGTGTTTCATTTTGTTGTGCACAGGATTCCTGTGAGTGGGAACCAACTTGATGGCATCTAACAGCAACAACAACATACGTATTAGTTAACAATTTGTTTGTGGCTTATTTATTAATAGATATTAATAAAACTGCTAGAAATGTTTGAAAAGTTATAGAGATTTTTCTGTGCAAGCTTATTCAGGCTGTTTTTGGGAAACATTTTTGAAATTTGTAGAAGAATGATTTATTAATAAAACTGTTTCCCAACTAATTTTAGCTGTTTCATTTATTGAGAATTTTAGTAGTATGCTGTTTCATGTTTAGACTATTACACATTGGAGTGAATTGCTTAGAAGTTAAAGAGCAGCAATATTAGTAGCCTATTTGTATTTTTAGTTTGATACCTTGATAATAAACAAGTCAGTTTGTTTGTGTATAATGTCTTAATGCTTCTAAAAGAAGTTTTTTTTTTTTTTTTTTCTGATTCCAGGCAACCTAATGAAGCCTCTTTTGAATTATGGCATTGCTTGGTAAGCATATATTTTTATTCTAAGTTCATTTTTAGAACAGTATTCATTAACTCTTTTAACTTAGTTGTATTTGTGAATTACTGTTACAGTATGTCTATGGGCTTCCTGGTTGAAGAGACGGCACCAGTTGTTTGGAGAGGCCTTATGGTTATGTCAGCTATTGAGAAGCTGTTGCGGCAGGTAAGAAAATTTCATTAAATATCATTTTATTGTTGACAAAGCTATAGGTATACATTTGTTGATTGGAGAACTATTAAAAATTTAAAGTCAGGTTTGAGATGTTTTACAAAGGAATCCAGTTGATAGACTGAATGTCTGAGTTTCTTGGTGCCAAGACCAAATTTTACTGTTATATGATTTAATCTTTTCCATTGCTTATGAGTACTTAGTATCCTAATTAAAACCAAAAAATGGTTTTGTTGCTTTGTTAAGTATGCAATAATAAGGGAAAATCTATTATAGATGTAACCTTCCTTCAGACTTATGGTTAATCAGATTTTGACCAATTTTGAGTCATAAATGCATTGTAGAAATTCTTCACATGAAGAAAGTAAGTATATAAACCATAGTACTTGTGGATCAAAATTGCATGAAAACAAAGTATAATTTTGTTTTACTCAGAGTGGATATGTTGTTGTTGTTAAGTGCTGTTGAGTTGGTTCTGACCCATAGCGACCCTATAACTGGTGAGCTTGAACCACCAACCTTGCAGTTCAAACAGCTTTGCAGTCTGACACATTAATCCACAGTGCCACACCAGGATAGGTATGTAGGGGTGCGGACAATGCTAGTAAGGTATGTTCACCATGGAATGATCAATCATTCAAGATCAAAAGGGCAGCATTTACTTAAGGTCAAAGTTGAAAAGGGATGGGAAGTAGGGTGGAATGGAAACAAGAACCGCAGGGAGGAAGTGAAATAGCTGTTGTTACATGGAGGGAATTATAATCATTGAGATGAAACAACATGTGTGATTTGTTGAATGTAAAACTATGATCTGCTCTGTAAACCTTCACTTAATTCACAACAAGAGGTTGAAAAAAAAAAACACGTATTGCTACAAAATCAGAGAAACTGTTATTAAGAATAAAAGAAATTCAAAGTGTGAAGCTGTTGTTTCTTAACATATCCTCCATCTAGATCTATACATTTCTGCAGGTGGTGTTTTCATTTCTCTAACCCTTCCACAAAGAATTTGTTGTTTTCAATTTATACCATGTCAAAATAGTAGTTTGGGCATTCCCGAGGGATCCTAATCGTATTTCTCTGAAATATTCTTTGAGTTTTGGAAACTAAAGAAGTCTGAAAATGAAAGGTCTGGAGTATAGGGTGGATGGGGTCAAGTTTCCCAATGAAATTCTCATAGGACTGCCCTTGCTACCTGCAAAGAATGAACAGGTGCATTGTTGCGATGTAAAATAATTCCCTGGTGTAACTTCCCTGGCATCTTTCTCACCAGTGCAGTTTTTAATTTTTTAAAGCCTTCTTCATAATAAGCCCCCATGATGTCCTATTTCTGTTGATAAAGACTAGAAAGATTAACCCTTTGAACATGTGAACATTAGTCACCACAACTTTGGGATCAGAAGAACTACGTAGTGCCTGGCTATTACTACCAGCTGTGCTGAAAGGGATCACATTAGAAGGTCCTGGATAGAGTGGGAGGAAATATGGAACAAAACTCAAAATTATAAAAAAAAAAGACGGGGTTTACTGGTCAGAAAGAAACTGGAGGAACATGACACCATGGCTGTTGGCCAATCTGCCAGTCTAGAACAGAACTCACCCTGGTGACCCAGTTTTCAGCTAAGCGGTAGATAGGTGTATAGTGGGGACAACAACACTAGTAAGGTATGTGCACCACAGAATGGTCAATCATTCAAGATGAAAAGGGCAACATTTACTTAAGGACAAAAGTTGAGGAGGGCTGGGAAGGAGGGTGGAATGGAAATAACAACCACAGTGAAGGAATGTGACAACTGTTGTTACATGGAGGAGACTGCAATGACTGAGATAACACAAAGTGTATGACTTGTTGAATGTAAAGCTGATGACCTCCTCTGTAAACCTTCACTCTGTTCACAATGAAGTTTCAAAAAAGATTACCCCATGGGAGTCCACCAAAACAGTCTCCAAAGCCTTCTGCATTGCTTTCTCTGTCTTGAATTTAACTGGCCTAGCAGATTCTCTTGGAAGCCACTGTTGGATTTGATTGGACTTTTATTTTGTTTTGTTTTTGATACTAAGACAAGTGCACTACTGAGAGAATTTGTTAGCAGCTGTCTGCTGATCATAGAGATCAGTTTAAATACATTTTGTCTGGAATAAATCTGTACATGTATGAACTGAAAAGCTATTTGCCATGCTTGTTGACTTAGCCTCATATACGAGGAGGTTTCAAAAAGTTTGTGGTGAATGGAATTAAATGAGAATGGAATTTTCCCATAAACTTTTTGAAGCTCCTTTGTAGGTTCCTTTTGTCTCTGGTTTGTTTTCATGTTGTTGCATATGTAAGTAGATGAATCTTTTTTATTGTTAAATAGTATTTCATGGATTGAGTACAACCAAAATATGTTTATTATTTTGTTAATGGATGTTTGGACTGCCTACAATTTTTGGATATTATGAATAATGCTTTTGGAGGTACTATGTCTTCAGGATACAGAAGCAGTAATATAGTCTCTTCATTTCACTTTGTCAGTAGTTTATCCACACAGTTTTACTGAATCTCCCTCCAGCCTTATCTGCAACGAGAAATGGAAGGGATTGATGAATAGCTGGCCTATGTTCTAGGAAGAATTTTTTGATGGTAAAAACACATGCCAGGTCATAAAAATGAAAATTAATCTTTAGGATCAATTAGAAAAACTAGGCAGATAAATGCTAGAATGTTATTTTGAGTACAGTACTGGATTTAATAGTATGGTGTGGCACTGTGGGTTAATGCGCCAGACTGCAAAGCTGTTTGAACTGCAAGATCGATGGTTCAAGCTCACCAGCTGCTCCTCGGAAACCCTATACACGGTTGCTATGGGTCTGAATTGACTCGATGGCACTTAACAACAACAAATTCCCTCTTAGTTTCCTGACATTTGAAGCCATTTCATTTTACTTTTGATTTTTACTTTAATTAATTAAAGGCATAAACATCTAGTACATTCCATGTGTTGAGTAACTATTAGTTTTTTCTGTTGTTTTTTTAAGATTTCTGAGAAGTGTTCTTTTTTTTTTTCTTTTCCTTCTCCCAACTTGTGCTTTGTGTAGTAGAAATGATTAATGTAAAAAAATGTGAGGGAGTCTTTTCTTGGAGTTTTAAAGTTTGAAAATGTGAGACATTGGAAAAAATAATTTTAGTTATTTAAAGAAGGGCTACAGAAAGGAAAACTTCAAAGACTAGCCTGATGTCAGCACCTGCTGTGGTCACAGTGTAAACCCTGGAGACGAGGGATTTTTGGCAGCAGTTTCAGTGCATTTAGTTCAATCTCCAGTATCCCTAAATGTGAAGCAGATGTCAGTTTTCTTCTCTAGGCTTCTGATAATGGCATATAATGAGTTGGTGGTTTCCTAGCAACTAAAGAAGCAGTTTCACTTTAGCTGATCCCGCAATAGGAATGAACATTTTCCCTTGATATTTGGTATTAGTGATTTCCCTGACAATGGAATTCCTCTTTTGAAAAAGGAATGTTCTCAGCCTTTGGTTTTCTAAAGAAATTTGCTTTTGAGTCTGGTCTAAGCTCTTCTTAATCCTGTATAAAATGAGATTCCCCCCCACCCCGCAAGGTCCTTCAGCACCTCTCATGGGAAGAGCTAAAGGAGTTTGACACTTAGTTTATCAAATGACAAATAATTATGCAATAAGCTATAATACATATCTTTCCCCACAATGTTCAACATCATAATTAGCAACCAAATTTTTTTCTGTATTTAATTTTTGGGACAAAAGAGGTCTATTAGGTATTGGCCAATGTGCTTTATAAATAAATATATCTGAAATTTAATTTCCAGGATCATTCCAGTATAAAGTCAGTATGACAAAAACATATTTTCTTAATCTGTCACCTATTTGATTTCAAGCAATATTTTATATAATGAATTATTATTATGTCAAAAGATATTAAACATGCTCTTATAGTTCACTTGAAAGTGAACTGTTAAATAATTCAATGTTTCTTTATATATTAGTCTTGCAACATATCTGTCTGTACTTAACTGAATAATTTGTAAATCCTTATGATTCGTTGGTAGTAATACATCTGGATATATTCTGACTCTTTAGATATATGGAGGCATGAGAAAATTATTTCAAAATGTACTTCTTTGTACCCATTTGTAGTTTAAACAGTTTTTAAGGAAATTATCCATTTTTATTCTTTTGACATTGTATAACTAATATAAATTACATTTCTCATAGAGATTTATAGTATGATATAAATTTGAGGCTGCCAGGCACTTAGGAAAAATGATAAAATATTAAATGATGTTCTTAAGTTAATTAAGTTAGCCATAGCTAAATATACTAAGAAATTTATTATGTTGCATGGAAATGTTCATAGACTTACACATTAACTATAGGTGAAGTCATTGAGTGTCTTGATTATCAGTGTGGACATCTGATTCTCTTTTATGGTTTTTTCTTTACCAGGTATTTAAGCAAATCTCATATTTAAAAATATTTATTAAACCTTGACAAAGCACCAAGGAAAGAACACTAATTAATTTTGATTCAGTTGACCAAGTACTCTTTTACGCACCTATGACTTACCCTTTTTGTAAAAAAGAAAACAAAACAAAACACATTAACCATGTGTGATGTTGTCAGTTATCTAATGTTTCTTCTAACCATAGTCTGTAACTCCCACCAAACAACGTTTCTGCCTCTGCTGGGCCTGGGTAAGAGAAGTTGGGAGAAGATACTGATAGGCTGACAGGAGTCAGCTGTGGATGTTAGCAAACTTAGTTGTAATTGTAAAACCTTGAACCTCTCACATGGGTTTAAAATGAGCCATCTCAGAAGCGGGAGGGAGGATCTCAGTAACATCAAAGAAGAAAAGTCTGGAGTAGAGTGAGTGCTTTAGACCCCGAGATCCTGTGCATTGAATCTCTTTGATTCAGGGACAGAAAGCTTTCACAGCAGAGGTGCAGCAGCAGCAGCAGAACCAAGAACCAGAGCAGTGGACTTC